AAAGGAAAGGAAAGGAAAGGAAAGGAAAGGAAAGGAAAGGAAAGGAAAGGAAAGGAATCTGAGTCCAGGGCAGAACTGCAACCTGAGACAGCATCTTAGACATGATGCTCCATAGTTCTGATGAAGATAACGGGAGGAAGAGGGGAAGCACATTCAGACTTGCAAGATTCTGTTACTATAACCTTATAATAAAAAGAGTATTAGCTTGTGTGTCTTTGGATTCCATGTTTGGTCTGTCTTGGAGGGCCGACACCTAATTGTTTTGAGAAGAACACCCCAAGTTTTGGAAGAATCAGACAAACGTCTTTCACACACAGAGAGAAAGAATTCCCTGAAGAACCAGTGGTGCCATAAACACATTAACAAATTAACCTCTTTAATTACGATGGGAATTGCTGCAGAAGGAACATACAAGAACCATCAAAGACATTGGCATATATATTTTTTTCTATTTACAAGAGAGGAAAGGGCTTGAAAAAGGTTTCTGTCCTTCCCCCTCCAATCTGCATTACTATTAATTTTGTCTCGCTAAGGACTCTTTCCTTCACTAATACATGTAGACTTTTTTACTATTGTTTTCTGTAGTACCAATTTAACATTTTACCAATCATTCTGTTTTTCAAACTCTTCTTATCGATTCCTACAATCAAATCATTTTTTCAATATTCTGTAAGAAAGGCTGGATGCATCGGAACTATTCCATTTTTTTGGAGGTTTTGTCCCAAAAATGACTCACAATGGAATGGCAGAAATATTGAACAAGACAGCGGCAGTAGCTGAGTTCATCCTTGTGGGTTTCACCCACATCCGATGGCTGCAGATACTCCTTTTCTGGCTTCTCCTTCTCACATATCTTTTGACCATCGTGGGAAATCTTCTCATCATCTACATCACTCTAGTTGACCGACGCCTCCAGACCCCCATGTACTTTTTCCTCAGGAACTTCTCTTTCTTGGAAATAGGATTCACTTCTTCTGCCATCCCTAAAGCTTTGTTTAACTTGGCCTCGGGCAACAACACCATTTCTCTTGCTGGCTGTTTCA